TTTAGGAGGGATCTTCCGCGAGACCTTCGGGTTTTTGCATTTGAACTGTGTGTGACCATACTCACAGCAGTTAATGTAAGCACCACGAGACCAACGGTCCCGCCACACTTCTTGATCCAGACCTGCTCTAAACCAAGCAGCTATTTTGTTTGGGTTAGCGGCCTGCCCCTGACTCCTTGTTGATCGCCCTTGCCGCGGCCAGCTGCCTTAATCTTGACTACGGCGGCGAGGTTGCTACCCTCAACACTCTCCTCACCGTCAAACTCTGAACCCTCCACAAGATCGGAAACATCATCGATCTCGGTTTGATTCCCATCGGAATCAACCATCATCAATCGACTACCCTTCTTCTTCCACTCTTGTGGAGTCTTCTTCTTTCTCCCATCCGTAGAAGGGGTTTGAGCTCCACCCAACGTAGCCTCTAAATCTAGGGCCTTCTTGCTGAATGACTCAAAAGTGTGATACTCTCTGCGAGCCTCGCTGGCTAATAAATTCCTAATGTCTGTGGGAAGACATCTCACGAACATGGTCAGCAAGACCTGTGGATTGTACTCCACTCCCGGGACGACGATCAGGCGCTCTACGGCTGTGGTGAGTTCCCGTATAGACTTGTACTTTCTAGTATCAAGTTTCAAGAGCCCATTAGTGGCAATCTGTGCCTGCTGAGGGTTGTGCCAACGAGCCTCCACTAAGTCCATAAAGCTTTCTAATGTGTGGGTCTGCGCCCAATCATGCATGTTCCTGGCGAAGCCCTTTGAAGTTACCAATCCGTTTAGCCAACGGGCTGCTGAACCCTCTAAGTAGGATGCAGCAGTAATCACCTCCTCTTCTACCAATGTCCTCTTTGCCCTTACCCACACTRGCACCGTTCTCAACCATGTGTCGAGAGCCTCATCCTTCTTATCTCCTGAGAAGGTTGCAGGTGGGTTCAGTGGGGTCTTGGGGTACCAAGGATATTGTTGTCCCTGTTGTGAGACAGGTGGCGACTGTGGTGTAGCAACAGTCGCTGGACCATAAGATGAAGAAGCAACAGTTTGAGATAGAGCTACTGTTGATGATACACTTGGTGGTGCCTGATTGAGCTGCATAGAGGCCTATCATCGCTGAGAGGGGCAGCGATGGTAAAGCTGCTGGCCGGATCCCTGGCTTATGCAGCGCTTGCAAAATCTGGTCTAGAGTATCTTGCATTGCGTCCATTTTACTGTCTACGTACGCATGCATGGATAGGACACTTGCCTTCCGGATCTTTCCTGTAGTGTTAAGTGTAGAGTCCTCTAATGCCTCTAGCGCAACCATGTCTGCCTCCCTGCCCTCGAATCTGACACTTCTTTCTTTGATCTCTTTCTCTCTTTTAGTAGCCTGTCTAAGTTCCTCCTCTAACCTTAAGTGGATCCTCTCTACTTGTTGGAACTCCATCTGCTCCCGGGTGCGTGGAGGCGGCGAGCTGAACTGCGAGCCCGCCATTTGACTAGTGCCAACCCCTGACGTACTAGAGATTGACTGTGAACTGGTCGGCATGCCTAGCCCTTGACCAGTTGAGTCCGCAGCAGTTGCTGCGGAAGTAGCATTACTCATTGCTATCGCCCTAGCGGCTCTTGCTTCTCTTGCAGCCTCAAGATTACGGGCCCTAACTTCAGCCCTTAATCTTGTCTCTTCTCCCGGTTGTAGGGCCTGGAACACTCTAGGAATTCTAAGGGATGATATCCTTGTTAATCTCCTATCGTCTGTACCTTCACCACCCTCTGATCCACTCATAGGTTAAGCAGACGCTGTCTGCACTAATGTCCTCGTTGGAACCTACCGCAGCATGCGTCTGACCGGATCTAAAACTAAAGAAAATAAATGTCCGGCGACTTACCTAGCCTACTAGTCAAGCGGCATCAACAACATCTACACAAACTGTACACATTGTCTAACTCTTATTCTGATTAGTCTACACAGAAGATTCGAGAAGAACTGACTATGGTAGATTACAGTCCTACTCTAGTCTGTCTGTTAGGTGTCAGCAGTCGGTCAACCAACTAATCAAAAACAAAACTTAGACTAATGTGAGCAGATGTATGCACAATGGATATGTCAGGGATGCACAGTTGAGTTCACAATTGGAATCCCCTTCCCCTGTATCCAACGTACCTGTGAGCATCATCAAGCTGCGGTGTCTAAGGTGTGCAACCACGGCCCACCCCTGTGCCCAAGAAGTATGCTTATGACCAGCCTGCCCCTTTGTTTACCCTCGCGTGCAACGAGCCTTACGTCTCACTGATCTGGCTGATCAGGAGGGATTTAAGGAGAGCCCCCATCTCCTTAGGAAATATTTAACGTCGCAAACAGGACGACGATCACAGCCAGTGGACAGTTCAGACCCCAACCAGAAATGTTTATAGACGGTCTGGGAGCGTCTCAATAGGACTTGTCAGTCCGCACACCCCTTCTATCAGCGCAGCAAAGAGCCTCAATGGACAAAGCAGCATGGCCTGCGTGTACTAATACCCATGGGTTGCCATGGTGATCGTGACAAGTGCTTCGACCAGGGCCCTTCAGACGCACCACCCTCTCCTGCCAGATGCGCCACCGGGAAGAATGTTGTCTCTCAAGATAGAGCGCACACGACTCCTCACCAAAGAGAGGACACTCAAGTTCGACTCACTTCCTCATGGTAAGAAGAGATTGAGAGGGTAGATAAGGAATGGGAACAACGTACCTGGAGATAGCTGCCCCCAACCACAGATTTCTCACCAATTGGGCTGATGTGCATTTCGATGACCGATCAATAGCCTCGGTACCACCCACAACGCAATGTAGTGCCACCTCAGCCAAAATGCCACTTCAGCATACTCTCATCATCATGCATACACCCGTTGTCACCACAGCTCCCACGTTGTCGCCACAGCCTTCCAGCGGCCGACCTCTCTACCTAGGCCCCGCTATTAAACCAGCACAGAGTATCCTCACTGCACATGAAGCATCGTCAGCGCACCAAGTCACAATGTCGCCGGTGCCAGGTAAGCGGCGATCATCACCAGCTCCGATACCAAATTGCAAGGAATATGAGTGTGAGCGATAGACATAAAACCAAGTTGCGAAATCACACAACTGAGCAAGTAGTAGTATCCCAAGTAGAGAGTACAAATGCACCGAGAAAACCATCCATAAAGAGCAATACAATGAACTTGAATGAAGTATTAAGCCAATGTCCAAGCCCGCAACCGCAATCCCTACAGCGAGTTGTGCCCGTTGCCTATCCCACAGGAACCCGAATTCTCCATTGCCATGGACGTCACCGGCCCGTTTCCCCGTGATCGCTTCGGGCACGACGGCATCCTCATGGTCGTTGACCGATTGAGTAAATACGCATGATTTCTCCCTTGCAAGTACTACGCCACGACTCCTGAACTTGCGCGCCTCTTGCACACCGACGGGATTTGCAGCCACGACATACCAGAAGACATCGTTAGCGACCGCGACACTCGTTTCATGTCGGCATTTTGGACTTCTCTCATGCAGTAATCCGGCACCAAAATGAAACCAAGTTCGGCTCGGCATCCACAAACGGATGGGCAAACGGAGTGGGCACATGAAACCGCTCAAATGATGCTTCGTACCCTCATCCGTCCGGATCAGAAGGATTTGGTTGACCGCCTCCCCGACATCGAGTTTGCCTACAACACTTCGTTGCATCCGGCGATCAAGGTCTCTTCAATATTTAGTAAATTGCTGGGATGAACAACAATTTACTCCTGGTTTGCTAAGAATTTTGATAAGAGTAACAATTATGGTTCGTCTGTCTTTATACGGGGATTCCGCAAATTGTCGAGGGTTCAGCCTCCTGATGAGTCGGTGCAACTCCGACGAAACAATCTTGTTATCATCAGTTTTTATTTTTTCGGTCTTCCATTTTTTTTTAGACTTGTATGTTTTTGGTTTGACTGTTTCTTGTTCTTGCGTCGTCTGCCCTCCTGCTTCCTCTGTGCCTTCCAGCCTCCTCTGTGTCTTCCAGTCTTTACTCTTTGTTGCTGCTGGTCATCCTATGCCTTGCTGTCCTATGTCGTTGTGTGTGCACCCGCCTTTTCCCCGTGCCCTCCAGCAGTTGCTCTTCGTCGTTGCTTGGTGTCACATTCCTTTTCCTTTGTCGTCTTTTATCTGCCTTCCCCTAGTACTTGCTCTGTACTTGCACCATATCAACACGGGGCGAAGCAGATCATCACCTACTCACACCATAAGGAATCCATAACACTGTAGTTGCAAGTCACCATCAAGAGCAGCCACAAGATGAGTGTCTACCACCACAAGGAACACACACACACACACACACACAAGCATAATAATATATTTCTTTTCTTCTTCCTCTCATTCCAAGTGGTGTGCACTTTTTGTGCGCTCTCGCCTTTCGAATGTTTTCATTGGTTTCCAACAGCAGCACCTTTAAGATGTGCCAGACAGTCAGTGCCTGATTGTTTGAAGTGCCTGCAACACTATGAGGGGGCCCTCTGTGTTACAGATCCCGTGTATGTGCCTCTGTGTGT